ACCAACGGCTTAAACGTCTCATCCGAAAGATGATGCGCTACCGTAACTTTTCATTCTCCACGATGCCTAAACACGTCACACATGTTTATCCGACCGCTAAGCTGCTCTTACATTGTATATTATTATTACTAGTAGCAGAATAATATTCAGTACAAATGGAACCAAAGTGGAACGCCCCGCTTCAGTGTCGGGGGGGGGGGGCGTAAGGATTTTCCCCACAGAGTTGGTGGGAGCGAGGTCGACGACGGACGTGCCGTTGTCCACGACGGGCGTGGTCAAGCATCGCTAATTTTTTTTTTCTTTCCGAGGAATTGTGATTTTTTTCCTCCCCTTTCATGGTAAAGTTCTCTCCAAGGGGAGGCGCTGGATCTCCCCCTAGCACCTTCTCTGAGTAAGAGACAGCGGTGCCTTCAAAGGGGCCGGCTAGAGCCTCGGTCATGGTCCTGGAATAGAAAAAAAATATCCCTGGTAGGGTTCAAGGGAAGATTTTTGTGCTTTAGTAATGGCCCAGCCGCCCAAATTGTGCTTTTAGACTACAAAAGTTGGGATTAGGAATCAAAATAACCTTATATTTATTTATAGGCAAATCAGACGGCTTCGTTGTGGAGTCGGACAACGGAGGATCCAGTCTATCCGACAGGGAAGGGATTTGGCCTGCTTGCCATCCTTGCAGGCACCGATCGACAATGACAACGATAAATTATATATTGTGGCTGCAGGCTCTCTGGTGTAACGATCTGTTTTTACACTATATCAGCAATACCATCTGTCCCGAACGATTTACTCAACATTGGGGTCCAGTGTTGTGTATCCAAACAGATGCAAACAGGCTTACAGGTAGCTCATCCGCCTCTAAAATTCCTTTCACCCAATATTAGTTTTATTTTTTTTTTACAGTCAGCTAATTAATATGCCTTGCACTACAACAACCTGGTGGGCTTCGAATCCTTTAAATTTATTCAAATGTACTTTCAAAATTTACACAATTCAATTTGCCTGTTCAAGTACTTTATCCGCTATTGGTTTAGACGTTAAGGTACATTAATTGTATACAGGCACAGGTAGGGCACCTATTATACTCCAAGTGAAAAGAAGCAGTGTAATGAGAATGCCTTTCCACAACAGCAGGTTTTCTAAACAGCTTGAATAGACTCTTGGAATTTTGATCAATTCATTTTCAAAGGTGTTCTGTGTCTACAGATATATAAAGTACACTAACCTGTCAACAGTATTGTATCGCGTGTATTTACGTAGCCTACCTCTGCACTGTATTGTCCTGTTATTGCTGTATCATCGGGTGATGTTTTGATATGATTTATGAACGCATTGTTGAACTGCTTCAGTGCATGCAGGATTAGTGTCCATACTTCCACAGAGATCTATAATAATTGCTGTCTTGAATAATACTCTGCCGTTCAAAATATTCTACCGTGTCCCTAAACTATCATGTCTGAGTTGTTACTTAAATACTACGCAGACATACTCAGTTTGGTATTTAAAAAATACTATTGTACTTCGGTAATGTGAACCTCTAGAAATAATAGGATCATTAGATCTTTATATCAATTTTTGTTTATAGCTTGCTGCTTATTTAATAGGCCTACCTATTAATAGGAAAGTTAAACTTTTGTTTGCAGAATAGTTTGGGCATTATCTTGGCACCCATTGTTTTAGGAGAAATCTGCCCAGAAGTTGTCAAGCGTAAAACTGATATTAGAATCCGACTGGTATACTCTCACGTTTGCATTTTATATTATTACACTTTAGCAGACCCATAGCACTCACATGAAGTTTAATAATTTAACATTTTGCTTTTAATTGTATATCCACTGTCTTTTTTTCAAATATTACTATGATGTGTTTTTAATTTTTTTATTGATAACTTTGATGGAAATAAATGTTGAGATTGCATCACAAACACAAAAATTACAATTAGAGCCTAATTTCTTCTTTACCTTTTCTTTTGTTATTAAGAGATGCTTCTGCATTTTAATTTGTCAATTATAACCTATATGTTTTTGTCGTTGGTGCTGTTGTTAATGCGAGGAGCACTATGCAACCATTGGATAGGATAATTCTGTAAGCATAAACCTACAAATGTTGTGACGGCCTGATATCCATAAGGGGCATCTCCGAGATCCAGGAAGAACCTTGGTCCCATGAGGCTCAAGTGAAGAGGTAAAATTGCGTGGTGGGCGTGGTCGAGCGTCGCTTGAAATGTTTTGAAAGTGGTCCAGTGGGGAAACCCCAAACAATTTTAACAATTTAATGTTTCAGAGGCTTACTTAATCGATTTTTTAGAGTCTACTAATATGTACAAAATACATATAATTATTTTTTCTCCCCGACGAATTGTCGTTTTTCTCCGCGACGGGCGGGGGTGGGGAAGATAGCTCTACCCGACGGGGGCCTTCCCCGGTCACCTGCTGGCGCCACGCCTGCCTGGGGGAGTGAGGGGTTTTGGGTGCGAAGCTCCCTTAAAGCTCTTACAAAGGTGCATTTTGAGGGCCCTATATAGTGATTTTGAAACCAGTAATTCCTGAATATTCTTTGAAAATGTTCATTCATTTAAGTGTGTTTAGATAATGTACAGTAGGTTTCAAAAAGTGGACCTTTTGGAATTTAGGAGGAGAAGGAGGTAAAGAGTAATCCAGCAAGATAACAATTTTAACCAAGTAGTCTGGCATGGGTACAAGCCCTGGTCCCCCGACCATTACCCAGCCAAACTTTAATAAAATCCAACAAAATGGTAAAATGCCGTCAACTCATAAGGCCTCCCACTCCCCCATCGTATCCTTTCTCTACATAACCCCACAATGGAGGCATAATGATCCCCTTTCTGTCCTAGATACCTCGTAGATTCCAGGTTTACATGCCTTCAAAATGTGTTGTTAATATGCTGGTATCGTTTCTGTGAGAAATCATTGAAGTTGAACTAAAAATGTGGTTGGGGTGGAGAGGGGGGCCGCTTTACTAAAACGACTATAACTTTTTTTCTAAGGATTGAAGAGGAGGTTTTTATCCTATTTAAGGGGACACTCGTGCACATCGATTAATACAAAAGAAAAGCTTTGTTAACAGTTACTTCCTGGTAGCCCATGATTTTGATCAAAAAGACTTAACTATTAAAGACCCCCTCCAATTTTAGAAGCACCTTTCTGTCGCCCCCGATGATCTTATATTTTTTTATATTGATGATGATTATTTTTTTTAATATTATAGACCAAAGCATAGACCACGAAAACATTGGTCCCTTGGTAAATAAATGGAGAAAGACTTTTTGGCTGTGTGTACCGTATAATAAAAATAATAGACAATTCCAGTGACTGGATATGTTTCAATTATATTTTCACTGTAAAATGGTTGGTAAACATTTTTTTTAAACACACCAATTACTATGTTCAAGTTGATAATTTTTATGTTACTTTAAAATGGACAAGTGACCCAGCCAACTATCGAAGCTCCCACCCCAGCAACCTGAAGAAATCTATCATATATAGCCAGTGTCTCCGTATTAAGCGCATTTTCTCTGACCCAGCTGACTACGAAGCCCACATATGCTCACTTACCAAACACTTTCTTAACAGTGACTACCCCTTTAAAATTATTAAATCCCAGACCCTTAAGGCAGCCTCTCGCCCCCGCTCTGAACTTTTAAACCCTAAACCCAAATCTGATTCTGACCGTATACCATTAGTTTTTAACTTCAACTCTCATACCACTAAGTTGGCCAACACTATCAAGAAAGATTTTCGCACCCTTCGACAGGACCCTAATATAAAAAATCTGTATCCCAACCCTCCCTTACTAACCGCCAACCCCCCAACCTCAAGTCTATTCTCACGTCGTCCAATTTACTCCCTAACCCGACTTCCCATGGTAATATTAAATGCAACAGACCACGCTGTAAAGTATGCAAACACCTCGTCACCGACAGCGATGTTAGGCTCCAACACACCTCTTCTTCTATCAATCCCCCTCCCCTCACCTGTGACTCTTCGAACGTTATATATCTCCTCATGTGCAATATCTGATATCATTGCTCTTATATAGGCGAAACTGGAACTAAATTTAGACTCGGGTTTAATAACCACAAACAGTCCGTCCGTAGCAAGAACAAGGGGTTCCCTGTCGCTGAACACTTTAACTCCCCTGGCCACTGATTTTATGTGTATTCTAAACAACATATCGATAGTCTAAAAAATAATAAAAATAAAAAATATTTGGTGGAAGCCAACTAAATTCGGCATTAAAAAAAAAAAATTAACAACAAATTACATCCACGTAAAAATATTGTATATATAAATAATAATTTAATTCATCTCCGTTTATTTAATGATTTGTATTGCCTTTGTATAAAACAAACACACAACAATGTTTTTATTTAGATTCCTGTAGGCCCCCAGGTGCCTAGTCCAAGCCCATGTTCCTATAAACGAAGCTCTTAAACTTTAGGATGAGTGTGATTCTCTATTTTATATTATAGTTTCAATTTTTCAATTAGGCGCTTTTTTAGGCTATCGGCTGCGTACACCAACTCCCCCCACCCCCCCCCCCCCCACAAAAAAAAACTTTTCCGCTATAGAATTATGTGTACCACGTGCACCAAAAAAAGGTGAACAATAAAGAAATACTGTAAAATCTTCTCGTCACTTTAAAAATTTGTCCATATTATTTTGTTCTAATTCTTTGTGTTTTATGAAATGTTTGTTTTGCTTACCGTACCTGCTACTTTTCGCTCCATTTCAATTAATCGCTGATTATAGTAGAAAATCGAGGTCATACACCCATGGCCATCCAACAGTTACAATATAGCTTATAGACTTTGCTCTAATATGTTTATTACAAAGAAGGATTCCTAATAGGCTTATTGTATATCAAGTTAAACAAGAATAACCCCAAATCACGTGACGGGACTAGCCAATTATATTCTGCGTGTTTATGAATATCCGTTTTACAGGTTATTTGAGTGTCTACCTCACATCGTTTCATTAGTTCACCCTTTATTACCATACACGGAGCTCTCGAAGAATTCATTAAACACCATGGAGTATATACCTGAGAAGTGAGTATGAAAGTACATTTTCATATTAAGATAAACAAAAGAACAAACAATTAGTTTATTAAGTGATTACTAATTATAGGGAAACTCACATTATGCGCTCATGCGATTTTAGTCGCCCACTAAATGCAGAAATCACTTGTTTTTTTCTCCAACGATTTGTGGTGGATTTTTGTATCGGATACCTATGCCCTTCCTGCCCCCACATGCGCATGTACTCCTGGATGCGCTTAAAGTAATTATGCTGTAAAGGAACACCATATAAATTACATCAATGACTAAAAATAATGTAATAAAAACAGGTAATGTTCCTGCTTCTTGCGCTTTAGACCCCGGTTCAAATCCGGCCAACGTCTGGTTCTAATTGGAGTCGGATCTGTCCTCTGTCCTCGAATAACCCTCGCATGAGATTTAGACAGTATAAGGAACAATGTACCCGTTATGATGTCGGTTAATTGGCGCTACACTGTGGCTGCCGCTGTTCCTCAGGGGCAAAGCAAAATTTCAAATTTCAAATTATTTGTAACTGGACAATAAAAGAATTTTTTTATTTATTTATTTTAATTATAATCAATAACAGACGTGTATTGATATTTTCATTTTGATGGAAATTATGTATTTTAGACAAATTGCGTATAATAATAAAAATAATGTATGGTAATAAAAAACATTTGAATAAAATAAGTTTTAAAAACCCCGAGCAGTGCTGACAAACGCTAAAATTATTTATGATATTAATAAGCATAAAGTTGTATAATAGTGACAAATATTTAAATTTTGTTAACCTTATTTTATGTTTCAATAAAAATAAAAAGAACAATAAATACTCTGTGGCGATTATTCAAATAACTATGGTAAAGTAATCTCGGGATTTCGAAGCATGACACAATTATGTCAAATTTATTCATGAACATGAAAAGTTGAGATTATGTTAACGGTTATAAATGATAACCTACCATGATGATGGTTTTGATGATGATGATATTGATGATGATGATGATATTGATTATGATGATGATGATGATGATAAAGATTTATAAAGCGCACATCTCAACATTGTCCTCAAGTCGCAGTGTGAATTTCACCACAAAATAAACAAAATCCATAATAATTCCCAGAATTTCGAGCAGAATCCGTATACCAATTATCCCATCGAGGCAGTGTTGCTCTCCATATATCCATATATAATTATGCGCAGACACTCAAAGGCAGTATGTTGAGCATCAGCACATTCCACCTCAGAATAAGCCCAGGCTCCACACCGTGCACTGCAAAAGGAGAAACATTGCGTCGACAGAGAAAAGTTGTATCATGTGTGTGTTTTTTTTTTTTTTTTTTTTTTTTTAATAATTTTTTTGTTTTTTTTTTTTAATAAAAAATATAAATTCAAAAGAGAAATATCAAGGTTCTCTTTACTCCTCGGTGATGAGATGTAATTTCAAAGTTTTTTTTCAACAAATTTAAAGATCTAATGTGTTTGACGGAGCAAGGAAAAACGTTCCAAAGACGCGCGCGGAGCAGCAATGCTAAAATCTCTATCCCTATAAGAGTGATATGACTTTGCAGTTGATGTAGAAATAGTTTGTCACAAGAACGCAAGTAACGCCCATGTCAGCAACATAGTCGGGAGCCAAACCATTCATACATTTAAAAACAATTAATAATTTTAAGAACAATGCAGTGCCAATGTAATGCTTTCATAGTATTTGTTATACATGAGTTCTTGGATGGCTTGGTTGGTAACTACACGTGCAGCAGCATTTTGAATAAGTTGAAACCGTTGGATTTGTTTTTGATAATAATATAATCATATAAAAATAAACCAAAAAACCAATGATGAATGTTAATTATTATTTTACAGAAACCAGTTAGTACTAGCTATCCGGAAAATGAACTGGGAAGCAGTTATAAGCGTTTTGCAAACGGAACCACAATTGGTTAATACTTACGATCAGGTACGTACTAAGTAATGCCTTAGGAACCACACTTCCACGAGATAATGTTGATGAATTATCGAGAACTCGAACTCGACAAAATTATTTTATTAAAATTACGTTCAAACTCGAACAATAGAATTGTTCACAATCCACTAGCGTTAAACTTTTACTTTTAAATGTTCGCAATGGGTACGGTATTGGATATAGGAAAATAATAATATTACAATCTGCCTGCAATAAGCCTTTAGTTTTCAAAGGTTTATAAATTGGCCTATATAGGTATAGCCTAATAATAATTATTGCATATAGTATTGGATCCTGCGTATTTCTTTTGAACTATTATCAATATTATATTCAAAGCTCATAAACAATAATTTATATGTCGGATGTTCAACGCATACGTAATTGTTTTTATATAAGAGTGACTTACCATATCATAGATAGTATTATGATATTATTGCAATAGCAATATGTTTACATAATTAAAATGCCGCCTGTTTGACGCGTAGGCCTACCTAGTTTTACACTTTTATATAACCGTTAATTAAAATATCATAAATAGTAATATTTTCCATCATAAGTCCTAATACCGGTTATTCAGCGCGTGTGTAAGTATATATTTGTATATGGTGAACTCTAGGTATTGAACAAAAAGAGAGCATAACATAGAAAAATGTTATACTGTAAAACGTAACGAAACAAGAGGAACGAAGTACGATAATTTATGTGGTAGTCGTCAAACTCTCGTCAAACAATCAATAAAGAATTATAAAATAATGTAGGCCTACAATCTACTGGAGCGACCAGAAGAAAAAGCGTAAGTCAATGAGTATTTTTGATTAGAATAAATTAAATGAATATGGCAATACATTCGTACGATGTTAATGACCACTAAGCAATACTTACACAAAAAATAAAACAAGAAAATCACCAAATTAAGAAAGATTTAGAAGGTGACGTCTAGATAAAATATATTTTTAAGAAAATCCATTTTTTAAGATGAATGATATGGAAACAAATTGATAAAAGCGTAATTTTGGAAAAAGACGGAAAACTTTGAAGAAACAGTTATACTACTGCAATTACAGTGTACTGTATTGTATTATTGAAACGCTGTCGCTAAATTCCATGATAGGTAAAAAAAAATTGATCTGGCGCTCTCTATAGTTTATTAGGCTTAGAAATACAAAACAGTCTCGGATAGCTTTTAGACTAGTAAAAAAATTTTTAAAAGAAGCCTAGAAATCAAGTTAGGGGGAGTGGAATGTTAGAAGCAGTCAACATAGCCAGATATCCTAATTAATCCCTTCTGATCAACCTAAGCGCTGTTGACACTTGATTTTTTGTCTAGTATACAAATGGCGGCCATTTTTCAAAATGGCCGCCAAATTTATCTAAATGTGCAAATAATCCGGGAAATTAAAGCTACAGATATGATTTTGGTGTCTAAACTAGTAATTTCTATACAGCAACAAACCAGACATATAAAAACTACTGTCACTCAAACCAGAATGGAACATAATTCAAAAATAGGTGTTTATTTGTTTTAAAATAACCGCAAAATATACTTAAAATTTGCATAAAACAAGAATAAGTATAAAAAAAACTCACCTAATGTAGTAATTTTTTTCATAATAATATAATACTAAGTCCAAATACCGGTTATTTATGTGGTAGTCGCTAAATTCCCTGATATGTAAAAAATTTGATCTGGCGCCCTCTATAGTTTATTAAGCTTAGCAATTATACAAATCGTCGCTCACATCACGAACTAACACAATTAAATTCAATTGTGTTAGTTCGTGGAATCAAAAAAGCGCGTCAAAATACGCGCTGTTGTCGTTAAGGACTTTTTGTGTGGTAAAGAATACAAAATGGCTTGACAACCAATACGCGCTCGATTTGACGCGCTACTGTGATTTCACGAACTAACACAATCTACTCTGATTGTGTTAGTTCGTGATGTGAGCGACGAAATGTACCGATAGCTTTGCACCATGAGTGTTACTCCAACTGCTGTATAAAGAACAACACATGACCTCCAGATACTGTTGAACGTAAATCACTCCTTTCTGTTTTAATTACTATTCATAATTAATTTAATACGTACTTAAAATTAAAGTGAAATAAAGTGGAAAATAAAGGGAATTTTGAATTTAATTCTGTAGATAGCGTACACTGGGTTTAAACCAAACAATATTAGGTAGCGTATATATTAAACCGTAATTATCAGAATAGTATGATTTCTCTGACTACAATATGACTGCTCCCGGCATGTGATTATAAGTATTTAAACGTCAATTATAAATTAAAATATTTTATTAATTCTATAATATTCATAGTTTATGACCTAAATTTACTTATAATAATCTAATAATATAAATATTGTATCTACAAACAATAGAGGGATTCAGGGACAAGTTTTAACAGATGAAGGGTCCAGACCAGCTCCACCATGATTTCTGGTTCTTGTTAGACCTACCGGGTATTTTGGGGCTGAGGTACGATGTTGTAAGGCAACATCGCCTATTTTGAATGAATTTTTCAAATTTTATTTTGTGGAAATTAAAAAAAATCATAGGATTCCAGACCTAGTATACATCTGAACGAATTTCTGCCTTGTCCCCTTCTCATAACTAATTAGATTAGGGCCTAAATACCATGAATTGTAATTTTGTACAGTAAATTAAAAGTAAGCATCACATGAAATTCTAAAGTTATTTAACAAAAATGACAAACAAATCGAACTTGAACTTTAATTAAACATTTATTAGAAATGAGTAAAATTATATTTCCCAATTAGGCTGCATAGTGGTTTTAACAACATAATAATTACGTCATTAAATCAACAGATTTATTTTGAAATATTGTCCTGATAAATAAAAAAAAACAATTCAAATAACAAGAATCAGAGAATAATATTACACGAGGAATAATAACATTAAATCTGAAATAGTTTGTCAGTTATATGCTTGAAATAATATCAATCTCATGTAAAATAACTTAAAATATCCAAAAAATACTCCTAGATCCTATTCATTAACGCCCGTACCGTACTCAATATAATAGGGGCCTAGGCCTACGATACAGAGATAATAAAATGGTATAAAATACATTGGATTTAGATTAAACATGGCCTTCCGTATACTTATTTTAATTCTTAGTATACATGGAATATCATGGTACCAATACAAATATAAAACTCGTAAAAAAAATAATTTCGAAAAAAATGTAAATTGATTTAACTTCCAGGAATAGGAAAACGCGTGCAAAATTAATGTGAACTAGGTTTGATAAAATATTATGAAATAATTTGTATTTTCTAGAAAAATATGTTATTCCTTATATTCATTTTAATTCTGAATGTAATTGAAATGTCATAGTGTCAATAAAATTAAGAAACTTCAAAAAATCTTTCTTGAAGAAAAATATAAATTGAATCATGTAACAAAAGTCAATCTAAATAATAGAAAGATGCATGCGACAAAAACCCGAAATATTTAACGGTTTGGTATTTATATTTTATTTTTTAACTTGATTAATAATTCGATTGATTTTATTGAATGATTTTTAATGTTTGATGTGATAATGATGTGATTTAATGTGTGTTTGTAATGTATGTGTATTTTGTAGTAGTATGTTGTTATAATCGTGTAGTGTGCATTCATGTTTGTTTTCCTAGTTCCACCAGACGCCGTTAATGCTCGTCCTTGTGTTCTGGTGGAGCGTACAAGACAACGATTTGGAGATGATGATTGACGCAGCAACAAAGAAGAACATAGAACACGAGGACGAGGTGAGTGAAATTAAATATCATTGCATTTTATACAAACAATACAAAACACATATCATGTATACAAATCATGCAAAGTCAACATCAACTCAACGTAGATTACAGTGATTTATTTCATTTAAAACTATAAATTATGATTTTATTATTTCATTTATATGCATTTTTTAACTCTATAAAGCTTGTGTAATATGAACATGATCACTATATTCTCAATAAAAACTTTTAAAAATATATTTTATAATGCGAGAAAAGTAATTATGTTTGGATTTGTTTTTATCAGTATGATTAAATAAATATATTAATGACAATACAATTTATATTTTACACAAAAATTTCATTCGCTAAAAAATCTGAGTTTGAAATGATACTTTAATAATAGTGTTTAAATAGGCCTTTTGAATAAAAACTTTTAAAAAAATATTTTAAAATGAGAGAACGTAGTTATATTTGGATTTGTTTTTATCAGATGGTTAACTAGATACATTAATGACAATAAAATTAATATTTTACACAAAAAGTTCAATCGCTAAAAATGTGTATTTACTGTATATTAATGTAATCTAGTAGGCCTAATAGTGCATTTTGATTCAAACATTGTTTGCCCGATTCTACTTCATCTAAAAAATATTAAATTATGTAATTAGTATCTAATAATGACTCAAAGTAGATTACAGTGATATATTTTATTTAAAACTAAAAATTAGGATTTTACTATTTAATTTATCTGATTTTTTACAACACTAAAAAGCCTATGTTATGGGCATGAACACTATTTACTCAATAAAAACTTTCAAAAAATATATTTTATAATCAGAGAAAGTAATTGTGTTTGGATTTGTTTTTATCAATATAGTTTACTAAATATATTAATGACAATGAAATTGATATTGTACACGAAAAGTTCAATCGCTAAAAATGCGAATTAGAAAGAATATTTGAATATAGTGTAAAACATAGGCCTTTTGATTGAAACATTATTTTTGCGATTTTACATTATAAACATCATTTAATAAATATTAAATTATGTAATTAGTATCTAATAATAACGAGTGTAATAATTAATGTATGGGTGATGTAACTCAGACGTTTGTTTTGTTGATATGTGGTGTCATAGTTTCTTGTTGTAGTTTGTTTTCCTGTGTTATAATTTTCTACCTTTCACTTGTAGGAGCGTCGAACTATTCTCCATTACTTGGCGAGGCGCGGACGTGTATCAGCATTAAGACGCGCGCTGCAAAAATCAAACATCAAAGTTAATGGGGGCGACTTCGTAAGTACAGTGTAATAAAACAGCACTTTTATTAATTGTAAACAAATTAACATCATTGAATTCACAACATATTTTGTCATCACATTCTATTTATTCATATTTTTGTATATTTTATAACGCGCATGATTTATATAAAGCTGACTGAAAAAATAAGAATGTTCCGTTCAGCATTATCATCATCATAAAATATCATCTGATTATTGAAATGAATATTCACAAACAATCTCATTATCATTGCTATTAATATGAATATTATCATCATCATAATTTGTTTAATTAATATTATATTTTATCATTATCATGTTTATAATGATTACAATGAGAAATAATTAAGTACGATAATTATGAATTATTTCAGCTGTTTTACATTGTCGTATTATTTGTAAATTCATATATTCCCGTGTTGTGCGTGTACAACAAAACTTGACATTGATTATCCTTTCATTGCAGGATGGACGCACACCACTACATGAATGTCTAGATAATGAGAACCGCTGTTATGAAGAACACCGCGAAACAGCAATTTGCCTCATGGAACAAGGCGCATTATTAATAAAAGACAACGTAATGTACATTATTATACAAATAAGAATGCATCATCAAAAGGATACCAGTCAATGGCTTTAATACAACAACTGTGTATCAGGAGGCACTACTACTAGAAACATTTCATGTGTTTAAAACAAACATGAGAAATATCAAATCTTAAAAATAGAAATAAAAATAAGTAATATTCTACAAATATTTTTTTTTCAATTATTTTGTACCAATTAATTTGGTGATAACAAATTATCGTAAAATTATCTTGATGCTAATAGTGTTGCTGTATACTTTGAAAATATTATTTTGCTATATTTTATGAATATTATTATTAAATTAAAATGTATTTATTAATTTTGATTTGGATTCTTTACACTAATTGGAATATTTAATCATTCTTTTCATCATTTTCAATTTGAAACTGTCATCGAATGTAATACAACTTTTGTGTACTCGTGTCTGTTATTGCAGAAAGGAAAGACGCCTCTTGATTTGTATGATAAGAATAAATGTTTTAAATACGGCGGTCGATCGATCAGACGTGAGAAGAAGGAAGAACTGAAAAAGTTACTTTTAGGTAAATTGACGAACCCATTGTATATTTGAGAATTTAATCATCTGCGGTATATAGTCTGTGCATGAACGCCTAATAAATATACTCAAGTTTTAAAGTTTGATTTTGAAAAAAAAGTTACAGGGCCTACACATTGGTATTTTCCAATATTTTGTTATCTATATTGTTATGACAACGCTATTTAAAAGATTTATTTAATTTTGTTTTTTAAAGTTATAAATAATGTAATATACCAGTACTTGAAACAGACATATTTTTATTTTAAGCCATGACACTTCCTGCACAAATTAAAGCCAGAGGAAAAGATGCAGTTACTGCCTTCGCCAATGAAATTGAAAAAGGTGAAATAACGTTGGTAAATAGCAGAGTGATGTTTCTAGGAAAGGAAGGGGCTGGTAAAACCAGCCTTGTAAATTCCATTTTTGGAAAACAGTAAGTGAAATTTCCTTATTTTATTTCTATTTAAATAGAAAGATAGCTTGGTGTTATATATATCTTAAGGTTAAAGAAAGGAAGCTGACTGATTGAAGCTATTTTAAATTACTCTATTTCAACAATTCTAACTAAATTATGTGCACTTTTAATAATCTTTATTTGTAAATCGTCTCTTCATTAATGAAGTATTCCTTGACTGCTTTCAAAGATAATGCCACTTTATCGTTTCAAGCATGTTATTTTGCGCGTGTGTGTGCGTATTGTACGCTCGTTTGTTAAAAATAATTTATTAGGTAAAGAATGTGTTGCTAGATCAACGATCAACAAAGGTCAAATTCAATTAGGTCATAATAAGCCTCAAAGCAAAGATATCTTTGCTCATACGTAGACTACGAGTATAACTGTAATACAATTTTTCAGCATATCGAAACATTTATTAACTAATTAATAATGAAAAATTATCTTAAGCTGTTTTATTTCGTGTATGTAATTATTATGAAACATAATTCATCATCATCATCATTATTATTATTATTATTATTATTATTATTATTATTATTATTATTTAACAATAATGTATTATTATCACTACTTTAATATTAGCATTATCATTATAACTATTATTTTTCTTTTTCTTAAAACACAATAGATTCAATAAAAACGAACCATCAACGGATGGTATTGTAACAACAACGGTATTTCAAACTGGTGAAGACTGCAGCAAGTGGGAGGAACATAAGGATGTAGACGGTATGGATACTGTACTGGCGCGAATAAGCGCCCCGTTTGAATAAGTGCCCTGTCTAATTTGAATAAACGCCCCCTCAATAGTCCAATCAACACTGGGACTGTGGATGTTGGCATGATTTGAGTTATAGTCAATATCAAAATGAGGATATTTATCTTTGACAGATGAGAGCTCCCTGGACAGACAGTATTTTTTCAACCTTCATCTTCTTGCATTTGTCTATAGCCTTTTCAAGAAAACCTGAAATTATCATAACATCCTGCTAATCTCAATCGGCCGATATCCAACAAGCTAACCACTACCACTAATTTCATCTGCTATTCTGTTGATAATGTACTCACAACATTCTTTTCATAACAAGCCATGCTCTCTGGACGATTATCTTTTCCGCCGCACCATTCGTAATTTGCGGTTGGATGTCCTTTATATAATCGTTTGTCATTTAAGAACCCCTTGATTTTCATCTATTTCTATTAGCGCCCCCTGTCCACTCTGTTTTCATAAGCGGCCCGTTCGAATAAGCGCCCCTCAAAAAGTGCAAAAAAATATTTTAAGCGCCTGGGCGCTTATTCACGCGAGTACGGTAATAGAATTACCGTAAATACCGTATTTAAATAAACGCCCTGGGGAATTCATTGAAGGGAGGCGTTTATAATATTTTGGTGGAAAATATACGTACGTATATAAACTATAAATAGGTATGCACTAATGAACGTTCTTTAATTTCACAGTAAATAGGCCTATGCCAAATGATCCCAACAAGAAGAAAACATGTAATTTTACTTGGAGTAGAACATTTATGAGAGTGAGAATGATGTTGATTAAATTCGTTTTGTCTACGGAAATTCTAGTGAAGCGTTTATTTCAACTGAGACTCACGGGGTGGGGGTATTTGTGTTGGCGTTTTTTATAAGCTAGACGCGTATTCTAATAAATATTGTTACTTATTGTCAAATATACGTGATCACAAGTGAATTGATTAAAAATCAATATAGGCCTAATAATTATTTGATTATTGTACAGTGAGTGAATTAACCAAGCAAATACGAGAGTATAATATAGCAGAACATATTGCAAGGAAGTTGGAACCACCAGAAAGCCAGGAAACCACATCTATGTCCGTATCACCCAGTTCTGCAGCATCTCCAATGGTATGATGATGAATGAATTATTATTATTTTTTTTTTTTTTTATAACGGTCCGATACCCCTTGGGTTTTGTCATTTTTTTCATGACAAATTGTTTTTTTCTCCTCGATAAACTATACCTTCCCCTGCCCCCTTTCCTGAGTCCCAAACATAATGAGCCTGATGGTAGTGGGACTCTATCTACAAAACTCCCTAAGTGTTCCTCCCCCCCCCCTTCAACAGTGACGGAAACGGAGGGGGGAGGGGAGATGACTTCCATTTTTTTACTCTTTCACCAAACCCATCACCAGTAATAAACATAGTTAACTAACACGTATGTCATTATTATTCAATATATTGCAGATTATTTTTGGTAATATTTGAAAGTACATTAAAAGTTTTTATTTTCTAGTTTAGCAACGAGTGTGTACACATATTGATTGGTGTCTGTAAACCAATCGATCAATCGAAGTAACTTCAATAGCTCTAAATTCTATCACATTAAGAAATGTTCCGTGGTGCTGAATGACGATGGTGTAATTACAGAGTGCATAAAATGGTTAATCTCATTATCAAATAAGTTAAAAATGTATTTTCTTCAATAATAATAATAATAATAATAATGATACTGTAAATTGTAAAGCGCGCGTCTTTAATGTATCCTTGAAACGTACTCATCTCGAGCTTAAAGAAAACGATGAATCGAAATCTCCCTCCTTGCGTAAATACCACATGGGCACATGGCGTAGGTAGGCACTCTCTCTAGTTCTCATTATGTTAAGTATAAAACCTGTCCAAACTCTTAAATTTTATTATTATTTGAAAAAATAACAAAAAACATGTGACATTCCTTAATATGGTCATGATGGCGTCACATCATGACCATATACAGTATAACCACATTAAAATTTCATATAAAACAAACACAATAAGATATCACTAATTAGGCCAATTTTTAAAATAAAGTGTTTTTTTTGTCTTTTGTGGGTGTTTACCACCTTTATTGTCATTCCATGTAAATATATCAATAATACGTTCTCCAATGTATATACACAATTCTTATTTATATACATGCACAGTATCTTACAAATTTGACATAGTACTCATGCTTATATACAATTAAAATGACATAAAATTAATTAGATCAATTATTCTATAAAGCATTTGATTTTAATCATTGCTTTCACTGGAATATATATATATTTTTTTCATCCTTCCCCTCTGTAACATATAAAAATTTTTTTAAAGTCTTGTTTTTTCAAAGTTTAATCTCTTCCACTTACTTCTTATATTTATATATATATATATATATATATATATACATATACATATATACATATATATACATACATACAAACATTATATACATATATATATACACACATATACACATACACACACACACCCCCACACCCCACATACACACAGACACATAATAATATACACATACATAATATATTTTCATTTTCATTGTACATAATTCCTTTCAATACTATATCCTAATTAATGTTTACACCATTTCTTAGTATTTTTTCTAGAAGAGAAAACATTTGTACTTAAAATACAAAATACGTTATTTTTTATTTATTTATTTATTTTTTTACTTTTTTTTTTAAATAAAGTTCTCTAAAGGTTAACTACAGTTTTTATAGTACAAATTGTAATTAAAATGTGTTATATATTATAAAAACTGTATTGCATAATCGCTTGGCACTAAGAATTATTATTAGGTAAAACAAATGATAGACTATGTTAAACGTTGAATATTAAAGTACCATTTCCGGGCATCCAAAAGGGTATTTTTAAAAATCATACATACAAACATTATATACATATATATAGACACACATATACACATACACACACACACCCCCACACCCCACATACACACAGACACATCATAATATACACATACATATATATATTTTCATTTTCATTGTACATAATTCCTTTCAATACTATATCCTAATTAATGTTTACACCATTTCTTAGTATTTTTTCTAGAAGAGAAAACATTTGTACTTAAAATACAAAATACGTTATTTTTTATTTATTTATTTATTTTTTTACTTTTTTTTTTAAATAAAGTTCTCTAAAGGTTAACTACAGTTTTTATAGTACAAATTGTAATTAAAATGTGTTATATATTATAAAAACTGTATTGCATAATCGCTTGGCACTAAGAATTATTATTAGGTAAAACAAATGATAGACTATGTTAAACGTTGAATATTAAAGTACCATTTCCGGGCATCCAAAAGGGTATTTTTAAAAATTATTTTCAAGGCCGCCTCGTCTAACCGGAGAAGGTTTCGTCGTGGAATAATTTTTTTAGTATGAGGTATGAACTTCGTGTAGGCAAGCTTCCTCATTGAGCTATTTGTGTTAATTTTCATCAAGGATACCCTCATAATGCTTGGAAGAATCGTGGAAGCAGTCTCGACTTCGACTTTGACATCAGACAATTATGAATTCATATTACAATAATTCATGCCTAATAAAATAGCTAATAAAATTCATAAAAATTGGTAAAATATTCGAAGCTTCTAATAAGCACCTCCCCCGGTCAACAGGCCTAGATCCTCGCTATGCTCGCATACTGGATTGCTTACCCCTCCCCCACTTTCTAAAACGTTCTTCTGACATTGATCCCCTAAATTTCGATTCGTCACCTGGCCGTTTTACGGTATTCTGTAGCTTTGCTATTTGGTACTTGATGTTTCCACATTTTAAAACTATGCTAGTAATGTTTTATTATAAATAGAATATCTTAACTACATAGGAGTAACTAAAATTAATGATTATTTTCTAAAACAACAATAATTTACCAACTACTGTATTTCTACAAACTATTTTATGCAGGTAACATCAGAGGAAGCTAGAAGTCTAACTTCAGAGGAAAGAGGTATTTATTATTTAAGATCACTGTTCATCACATCCCTTATATCATTACAGGGGAATTGGGCTGTCGATAGTTTTTTTCCGCTAAGCCTTGTTTGTCTTTACATTGCGCGTTGTCTATTTTCTAATGCCAGCTAAATAAACTTAAACATTTCCCAGACAAGAGCGTAATAAAGTGGTCAAGCATCGTTCAAAAGGGATACAATGAAAAAATTGAGAGATTTCAAAGGCAGGTAAAAGCTACGCTATATTTTCTTCTGACGATTGCAGTTTTTCTTTTTCCTCCCCCTCCTAATTTAGCCAGCTTACAATTGATCCCCTCTCCCACTTTTCACGTGTCCCTGTCATCCTCCTGTTGATAATCTTAGATCTTAAAATTTCACATACAGTACGGTACATTTTAAGTAGTAACATCATATTGTTTATAGTTATCTTATCATCTTTTCTGCCATTGCTTATGATTTTCAATCAACATGATCATCATAATAATCATTTTTTTAAATTACACTCTCATCATTCATTTATTTTTGTATTCCATTGTCATCACCATAGTCCATCTTCACTCCAGACCATCTCTTTTTTACTTCCGGCTCTCAAAATTTATACGAGTTCGAATTTTATTTCCTTATTTTTTTTTTCAGAAACTTCTGATGTTTTTCAGAGCGCTGCAAACGTATCGACTAGACAGTTCGATAGACTCCCAGAAGAAATTGTTAAAAAAGTTGTTGCTAAACTTGACTACCATAATCCTAAACGCGGCCATTTTAAACGATTCTTTAAGAAAATAACGAGAAAGAAGACTACTGACAAAATACCGAGTGACGTAACATGTATGTGGGATTATGCAGGCCAAATCTCATATTATATAACTCACAGGGTAAGCAGCATAGCACCTTTATATTATACCAGGGAACAGTTTAACTGTTCCCTGATTATACAAGACATTCCAATATTATTGTATTTGTCATTGGACATTAGATTATCTGTATCAGAAATAGATTTTTTTTTCTTTCACATGTGATGTTATAATAAATTACTAATAACGAAAAACTGTAGCGCTTAAACTTACATATAGGGCGTACTCTATAAAAGTTTAAGCACAATCATAATCCTTCTAGCCAATTGCGTACTGTTCGTTATTGAGAGTTTTGTAGGTGCTTATCTTATGTTTCTATTAAAGTTTAAAGCTAGCCTACTACCACGTACGTACTATTTATTCGAGAAACAAGGCTAATGACAAAGTACCGACTGGTGACGCTTTGAAAGCTTTGTTGAAAACGTACCGAGTGATGTAACGTGGTATTATGTTGGCCAAATCTCATAATATACAACTATATTATTGTATTTGTCACTGGACATTTGATTAGATCATTCGAGAGATAATGGATGTTTACACATGAATGTCGGTGCACTACTATATAACGAGTCAACAAAAATCCTTTTAAAAATATGAAAGATACAGCAAAATTACTTATTCATATCAGGGAACAGTAAAATTACAACTTAACTGTTCCCTGTTCATATCAACATGTATTAAAATAATATACACCCAAATATACAATAAAGAGTAAATAGGAAATATGATTCGTCATTGACAAACAAAACACGCTAATGCGGTAACAACTTTTATAAAACAGAGAATGTTTAACATGGAATAAAGCCAATGATAACCCATATGACTTGCTTCCATTTCGGTCCTCTTATATATTGATAATAATATAGCGATCGTGCTGAATTTAGTTGAGATAATACATTTAATATATGTTTATGCACATAAACCAGAAACATCAAAATACAGTTCGTACTTTTATAATTTCATTTTCTTTTAATGATCAGTTGACATTTAAGAGATTTTTAACGCAATGTTTAATATTATTTTAATTAATCATCCCATGTATTTACTTTATTTTTCGTTTTTAGTTTTTCTTGACAGATGGATCGTCATATGTCGTTGTTTTTAGTTTGTTTGACCCTTTGAATGAATTGGCAAAATCAAGAGGTCCACTGAAAGTAAATAAATCATTTCACCTTTTCTACTATGCAACAAAGAGAATTAGTTTCCATTAATTTAATTGCATGACAAGTCTGTTTTTGATTATTAAGTATGTTCTTATATTTTAACTTAGTAATTTAATGGTCTTAACTATGACAGTCATTTTCTTCTCTCACTTTACTCTTCTTTATTCCTTTCTTCCTTTTATCAGGATCAGTTTGAAATGACTAATCTCCAAATGATTATTTTCTGGATACGGTCAATATATGAGCACGCTGTACTACAATATAATGCAAGTACGAAATTGATAAATGACACGATAGCCTCACCCACAATCAGTTTGGTTGGCACTCACAAAGACAAATTAGAGGGAAGTGAGGAGGATAAACAGAATCAGGTAAAGATATTACATCTCAGTTTTAGACATATTACAGTTCTCGAATTTTGTGTAATGTAAAAATAAAAAAAGGCTTGTTAATACATAAAGTGATAACTTTAATCTCTACGTAAACAAAGTATTAACAAATATTTCCCTTGTTGCCAAAAGTGTCTATATCAGTGGCCTTGATAATACTAACATTGTTGTTATTTAAATCTGAATTTTTAAATATATAATTTATAAAAAATTTCTTTTGGAAGCATTTGTCTTTTTGAATATGGCGATGACGATCATGACGACAATAAAGATGGTGGAGGTGGTGGTGATGATGATGACACTAAGTAATTGAATCCCAATTTTGGATTCTCTAATGTGCTTCACCTTTGTTGTTTTTGTAAATTTCAATGTATGAAAACACAGATAAAATGTAATTATATGAAATTGTACTATTTTATTTTATTCAAAGATTGAAGCAATATTCAAAATAATATTTGAAGTAATCAAAGGGATGCCATTCGAAGTTCACGTAGATAGAACGATGTATGCTGTAGATAATACATCAGCAAATGACAAAGGGATTGAAGAATTGAAGAAAAATCTCGGAGGTTACACAAAGCAAATGGCAAAAACAGTTCCCACAAAATGGGTTGATTTCCAGTCGAAAATCCAAGAAGTTGGGAAAACAACACTGCGCATGTCCTTAGACGAGGTACCATTTTGTCCTATTTTTCCGAAATTTCCTCAGCCTCATAAATATACTATAATATTGTGGAAAACTAATTTAGAAATAATTATAATAAATGTGATCATTATTATTATTATTATTATTATTATTATTATTATTATTATTATTATTATTATTATTATTATTAATTATTATTATTATTGTTTCCATATCAGGGTTAGATGTAATAACATTTCACTGTCATGAATATTTTTATGTTGGTTATATTTATATTTATAGACAATTACTATTAGAATGTTTTCAATATTTAATTCAATTATCTTTTAGGTCACTAAGATTGCTGTTGATTGTGGAATTCAGAACGAAAACACCATCCACATTCTCAACTATTCAAATGATTGCGGAATCATTATGTATTCGCCAACTAACATCAAGTTGAAGAACACTGTGATTACTAACGTGCACATGTTGATTGAAATCTTCACAAAAGTAATCACAACAGAAGATAAGGTAACAATCAAGTAAACTGGCGTGCGGGATAGACCATACACATTTTAACAGGCAGTATACAAAATCCGTTTTTAATTAGAGTACATTAATGACCATTTATTTTTGAATTGCACACCTGACCTGTTCTAAAATAAATGCTAAATGTGCTTAAAAGTTAAAGAAAAGATGGTATTTAAAATCCTCTACACACTTTTATTAATAAAATTATGTTTTTGTTTAATTTATTTTTATTTAGAGACCCGCAATGATGAAGTTATGGCATCTGCTTGATAAAGGCATTCTGAGTGAGACATTGCTACGTCATCTGTGGAAACATGAGTTGGAGGAAGACGCTAGCAGCTTTGACATTTTTGTCGAATTGATGAAGGTTTTTGGACTGCTCTTTGAGAAGCAAACGGTAATTCAATGCCTCTACTTATCATGTACTGTATATATACTGTCTCTTATACACATCTAGTATATAGACACATCATGACCATATATAGGCACATCATGACCATATATAGACACATCATGACCATATATGTCATTCATGCTTGTTTTGGCATGGCAAGCCCCATATAGGCACATCAATGACTATATATGGGTATACATCATTTTTTTCTCAAATACTATTTGATCTAGTCTGGATAGGGCTTTATGGTAAAATCAGGAAAATACCCTAGAAATTAATTTAAAAATTAAATTGCTCATTTAAAACTAAAGGTCAATTAATTATCCCCTTCCAAGTTAACAGTATATTAGGCCAGGTTAAAAAAAAAAGTAGTTTCTCATCCTAATATTTTGGAAAAAGGAGAATGGGGGAACTTTTTTTTTACTCTGGTATATCCAAGATGGTCGATGGGAAACAGCTAACTACTTTCATTATACGATAAGTCATCTTTTTCCTACAGCTTGAAATAACGCATCGGATTGTAGTAGATGCAAATGATAAACAAGTAATATCAGAACCACACCCGAGTGTCTGCATGGAGGTAAACACAACAGCTAAATGTTTTGACTTCAATCTTGCTCGCTTAAAATTCGTTATATTGTGGCATTTCGCAATATAAGCATAGAGAAAATAGAACATATGGGTCTAACTGTTAGATTACTGTCCCACAATTATAGTTCATCCTCTAATATTTTGAAATTAATACTAATAATACTTACAGTAACATTTTGAAGGTGTTTTGCATCAGAAAAACCACTAACATTGATGTTTTGCAGAACCTAATAATTATTTTATCTTACTGTAGACTATAATATGAACTCATATGAAGAAAAGTAGAATTTACGTGCAACAAATTGGAACAAAACAATTGAAAATACGAAATGATTTAAAAATAATAATATTTTGTTATTTAGGTATTAAACTACTTGAAGCATCAACTGAAGACTGTGTATGGTACAACAGAAGGGATCGGCTACAAATTACGCGTCTTGTGCAGCGTATGTCAACCAACACAGCAACCTCATCTGCATGATCTTGAGGATTGTCTGAAAAAAGATAAAGTTTCGTGTGGAAAGATGTCAATGCAGACTTTTCGTTTCAAAAGACTTTTTTCAACAGGTTAGTGACGAAATGTGTGTTGAGGTTTTTTAATATGCCGTTGTATGTGTGTCACATTCTACATAGTTTATATACCATAGTAAACAAAGTAAACTCACGGGTCCTAGTTGATTTCCTGGAATATTATGGCTATAGTGACGGTGCCAGCGGAAGGGGGGCTGCGGTCTGGTCAGCCCCCCTTCCATAAGCCAAAGCTCTTTGGGCAGTCGGAACGAAAAAGAAAAAAAAATAGACCTAATTTTTTCCATTTCAGCCATTTCCGGCCACCTACTAGTCTGGATTTCCCTTTTTTTTTTTAAACAAATTTTGTTTTGGTAGGAGGGGACATCCCCCTTCGGCTGTAATTACACCCATAAATAGCCCCCAGTCGGACATCTTAACCCCCGATAAATTATATCCTAGAGCCGCCACTGTATGGATAGGCCACTGTAATTCTAATAGTAGCCACAGCACAGGACCTAACGTGCAAATCGGCGCAACTTTGGACATAGTACCGGCGGCTAAACATTCTCTAATTGACAGTGTACATAATATGCATTTAACAACTGCTCTGCGTATACATTTTGTTGTGATGCATTGTTTCGTTTGGTCTACATGTAAAAGCTTCATTAATAATTTCTTAAAATGGAAAGGAAAAACCCAATGTATAATTTGAAGTAAATGAAATATGAATCATGGTGAAATGAAGATAATAATTCTAATGCAATATTATCTTTAATATGATTATTACATTTACTTTCCACTAAAACCAGAATTTGTCGAAGAGATCAAGAATTTTCAGGCCGTT